CTCAGTCAGTAGCGCTTGCTTGGACACCAACTGGAAACTAGGATGAACTAACTCGAATTCACCGTTGTTTTCATCGTTATTCTGGAGCACAGTTTCCTTGTACGATCGGTTTCTTAGAAATTTTTATGGAACCCAACCGCGGTATCTCCTGTCGGCTTCGGCTACCTGACAGCCCTCGCGTTTCCTTCGGAGGACACGGCAGCTAGACACCGAAAGAATCTGACAGGACGAATGGACCTGTCGGACTACAGGCAGTTCGTGTTCAGACTCGGGAGGGCAGCAAATGCTGTGTTGAAAACCGGTTAGTACACATCATGAATTAAGCAGGACAGACGGTCAATAATAGCGCGGAGCAGAAAAAGGGACATTGGGGAAGCAGAGATTCCGATGCGTGCATTCAGACAGTGTAAATAGGTTGTACACAGAGATTACGGCGCAGCAGGCAGCCAGTACTTTCGAGAGGCAATGGAAATTCTCGAAAATCGGTATTGAGTGAACTGGGCACATGACAAACTGTTCACCGTAGTGACATCTACAGTAGGTGTACGGTTGCCTTCAATGTAGGAGGGCGTTTGAAGAGACCTACCGAAATTAGTCCCTTTTGAAAAATAGTTCACCTTTGAAAAAAACCTCGAAGAACTACTAACAGTAACCTCTCTTTTAAAGGGCTGTCGTTGCCGAAGGTAGCGACTGTAAATGAGATTCTCCTCGAGTAGTGAGCTTATCTTCCGTCGTGCGGCAGTGAAGCATCAGTACCAACACTGATGTTGCTTTCTTTGATGATGATTATCTTCTGTCATTGATGATGTGGCTTTCATACGACTTTTTTAAGTCGCTTTTTTGGATGACATCTGTAACGACGTAAAGATAGCTTGACTCGAAAGCATACTGTGGGTCTGTTTTCTCCATTCCAGTTTTGGTTTTCATAGTTACATGTATGATGCGCATACGCTTGTCCTTTCAGGATTGACCTTTCCCCAGAGGGGACTATCTCTGAAGGGTTCACTCAACGGTCTCATCTGAGGCAACTGTTATTATATCAAGTTATCGACACCGATCATATCCCATAGAAGCTTGTCTCCTGACTTTGGAGCCTCCCCATCCCTATGATTCATGTTTTTCATGTTTTCAGGGTCAACCGATTCGGAAGGTCAGTGCACGGTTTAAGGAGGCCGTCGAGGAGTGGAAAAAATTATCCTCGACAGAAAAAGCCGTGAGTCCATCGCGTCGTCTTGTTTGTTTTCTGATTGTTGGTTTGGATGAACTCGGTTCATTTTCCCGTTATTTTAGTCTAGTAAAGAGTGAGCTGATTGAACTCGCTGTTACTGCTGACATGTCCGAATATGTAATCACTAAAAATGATAACGCGCCGGTCGGCTTTTCCCTTACTGACCATTAGAACATGTTCGTGGAGGCAGTCAGGTCTATGTTAGATGAAAGTCTGTTCTCATTGGCTCAAGTTGGCATGATGATTGGCTCCGTCCTGTAGTTGTCAGTGACCGTAGCATCCATCGAATGCCTCAACTTCGTTGATGAAATTGTCACTTTTCGTGGTCCAGCTGGCCTCATTCACTTTGCTGTCACTAACACCAACCGCTGGAACCATACAATGAGGTGTATCACCGAAGCCGTAGATATTTGCTTGCCAACGAGACTGACACACCTGTAGTCAGCCCAGTGTGTCATCAACGAGTCATTTCAGGCGTCATTAGCTCGCAGAGGCTACTCTACTGCCAAGCACTGCTTGATGTGAATGGTCAGCCGTTTGCTTGTTTGCCTGTAATCTTGGCTTTCTGATTGTGGTTCACAGAATGTAGGTTGTGTGTGAACGTACGCAGACTCGATTACTGCTTTCAAATTAACTTATTTTCCAAAACACTTTGACTTGCACCGTACCCCTGGTTGCACCCCTGGAAGCCCTCGTAGGTTTTCCTATCTCTACATGTGCTTCACACCGTGGCATAGTTTTCAACAGCGAATATTCCAGAGGATTCCATGTGATTTCTCTATCTGTTGGTGGGATTATCATGCTGCATGGCGCCCAATGTCCTTGATTTTGCAATGTTCCTCTTTCGGTTAGACCCATATCCACGCGGCCGTAATAGAGGGATAATACGTTCCCCCAACCGTACTCCGCTTGATAAAAAAATGCTGCCTTAGGTTTTGTACTGTTTTATTTTGCGCTACAATAGCTTTGGCTTAAGCTATTTCTAATGCGCGTCAAGGATGTTGTTCTTTTTTGAGAAAATATTCACTTGACAAGATCGTTAAACGGGTTATAGATGAGATGGAAGTGTCGGTTACTAATTTGGAACAAGTGCCTATTGGTCAACTATCGGTATCAACAGTTGTAGCTGTTTATAAGTGAATACGAGGTAGTACAGTTAATCTATTTGGCATTCCGGTGGACATGGATATTTCTTATCAGGCGTTTGCAGACTGTTTGGGCACCTGGTGCACCTCGCCTTGCGACCACCAGGGTGAGTCACCCATTCTGGTACGAGCGCCTGCTTTGCATTCCACAGGCGGAGATAGAGTTAGTCCTGCAAAACAACCCACTGCATTTTTAGTCCTGATTGGACCCCATCATATGAATGCAGCATGATCCACTGTATATTCCTTTGGTGAACTGTCTTCTGCGGCAGTAGGCGGTTTCCAACTAAGGAATCACTGGAACTTGGTGTTGATATTCCCTGCTTCCCCTCGAGCTGCCCGCGAGTTTATGGATGCAAACTAACAGCCTCCAATAAGTTCCTGCCGGTTCACGTACAACTTCAGTTCATCCCCTCACCCGGTCATTATTGCCCCCGCTCCCATAGCCATCACTAGATTAGACTTCACTGAGTATATTGGATTTGCTGTCGATTTCTGTAGTTGGACCTCGCTGGACGCGGTGGATTACGTCACCGCACCCTGTGACCTTCCCCAACCCTATCCCTATGCCGAGGCTCCCGAATTGATATCCAAAGTTCGACTGACTTCCAAAAGAGTTCCGTCCCTTAGTCAAACCGCCTGTCTCCTTCCGGTGGTCACCGCAGTTGTGCACCACATCCGCACTAGTTGCGCAGTCGTGTTCGCTCGTCCCCTAACCAGCTCAATGTCACCAGGGGACAGTTTCATTAGGCGCCTGGCTTTAGCTTCATTCGGCAATCCAATGCAATCGTGCCAAACAGCTGTTCTGCTTCAAACACACGATTTTACAGCCATTTTAGTTTGTTTGATTGCGTGATCTGTTGTGTACGCACACCATCATATTCTTGTCGTTTACGGGGACATTACCGTCACCATTACCACAGACACTATCTCCACTGCAGAGATTTATGCCTCACTTAAGTGCAACCACTTCTGGCTTATCTTTTCTCTTTCAACACTGGAACGCCGAAGTCATTTGTCTCTTCAATTTTGAATTTCAAACACCTGTATCTCCATGAATCAGTCGTAATCATCCCCGAAGATCATGCTTCTGTAGGGCTTCCCAATTCCGCCTGAAACCATTGACCAGTTGACTTGCAACTGCATTGATATCGTAATTTTTTTTTCTATATCTGGGTGGCGAAAACCATGTACTGTGAACTTCATGTAGTGGCTCAGTACTGTCTTTCCCCTTTTGTAAGTGAAACCAGATCCACGTAAGCTGACGTTCCCTAACAAGGTGGTCAATGCATCGTAGGCTTTTCTTCGGTTCGAAGTAATATGCTACTCTTGAGATAGCTAAAAATTCTTCGACCAGTCATGACCGGTTTCGTCCTTCTTGGGACTCATCAGCTAAGCCCAATCTCCCAGTTTCCATCATTCTTATGTTCTATTTGAACCCCAATTGCGCGAATTTCGACGGGTACACTCAACGGTAGACTAATTTGGTTTTCATGGGGGGATCCTACGAGGAACTGTTTTTTCCGAATTGTTCTTCATTTAGTTGAGTTGGTTACAACGTTGTTTGATAGTCACAAAATAGTATGAACTAGGTTTGATTTATCTCAACTATGAGTATACTTTGTCAAGCCGATTCGACTGCGAACACTCGCACATACTGAATGCACTTGCAATGTTGCAATTGTGTTCGGATTTCGCGTTTGCCATCCCTGATTGACATCCTTTTTCAGCTGTATTATAGTGTGGTACTATCTAGTGTTATTCTATTTCCCGTTCCTTGCTTCATCCGCGAACGACATAACACTTAGTGCGCACAGATGATTCCCCAAAACGTTAGTGGTTCCGTTAGTATGTTTATCTCGATATCGCAGCACGAATAAGCAAGCAAAGCTCCCCATAAACTAGAAATTTTCTGCGGTGAGAGATGTTATCAAATAGACTGTAAACTCCAAGTTTTGCCCTTTGCGCTACACGATACTGCAAGGCCACGTTTGTTATCGGCTTTATTCATCAGCCTTCGACCTATGGAATCTGCGGTAATCCCCGATGTACCGTCAAACATCCGGTTTACTGGATGACAAATTGGGTGGCGAAAAGATTTGTAGCATTCGCTGCTCCTGCAAGTCATTTTCGTCTCAGTATTCCATCTTGCAAGGATTCCAGTGTTCCGTAAACGGGGCCTACCGAGGTCAAGTAGTGGTGAGCTGCATTTTCTTAAACCTATCCCGAACACCCATATGACAATCAGCGCGCCATTTTTCTCGCTACTGATTTTCATTTAGTAGGCTAATAAGGTTCCAAAATCTTTGCTCCACGGCTCGCCAGCATGGCATCTCGTCATCTACAATCGTCGCGACTGTTCGGTCGCTTTCTGCTGTCTGTCAATCTTATGAATAAACGATCAGCAGTTAGTACGGAACCATACAGAGAAGTTCAGTATAGTCATCACTGAGCCAGTCATTCACTGTGGGATCCGTTTATTGGTACAGTGCAAATTGGCCCATGAGCTCCGTGGCCCAAGGAGCAACCTCGGAGTCTTTGTTTTATTGCTACTATCATTGGTGAATACTCAATGTCCTTTTGAGTATAAGGGGTGTATCATTGTCCGACTAGGCGCGCTGAATGGGTCAGAGTTCACCTGGACGACGTTGGCCATCCAGTATCCAGTACTCAGTTGCTAGCGGAAACAGGGATTCCACCCCATCTGACTGTTTTTTCTGGGTCCGCAAGTTCTTCAGAGCATCTGCTTCGCAACGTAGAAAACTAGAATTCACGGAAGTGGACCGGGTGTCATCAGAATGCTGAGTCACTACTAATCGCCACGCCAGAGGTAGCCGAAGCGTCCTCTTGTCGCTGATCAACAACTGGAGCGTATCCCGCTCTCCGATACCCAGTAGACGTTTGTGGTTAGACCTTCCAAACCCGCTCACATTGAAGCACATCTCATACTGTGTTTGATCAAGTTTTGGGTATCGTTTTCTCTGGTTTGGACAACGTACGATTTCCTTCCGGTGGCGATGGTGCTTGATGAAGATCTCACTGGTTGTATTAACCCTCGAATTTCACATGCTGTGATATGAATCCGCAACCCGCTTAAATCGCATGGGTGCGGTTGCCTAGGTTATCCACGAACAGTGTCTCACGAACCGCTTATCTCTCACCTATGACGGAGCCAGAAGCAGTTGCAACAAGCGCTTTGACTATGCGGAAAACCAAACCGGAGCCCATTAGCCGCACAATGCTCTTAGCTGCCAAACCTTTAAGAGGGGAATAAAGCTTTTTGCTCCAAAATGTTGCATTTTGTTACGTATGTTCTCAAACCAAGAACCAGCCTAATCTACATTCATATTTTCGCAACTCAACAAATTTCATTATCCACTGAAGGAATCAAGCATCTGGCGCAATACTTTCCCAGCACCGCTTAGACCCCGGGATGCCTAGATGGGCTCGAAAGTTTTGACTGGTACTCTGAACCGATTTGCCTGTCTGGTTTGCTCCAACAGGCACACATCATAGCTTTCGAAAACTCAATTCCATTGTGTGAATACTGAGCTCCTGGAAACCCAAATGAGGTTGTCTTATCTGTGATTGCCGCCAGTCATATGGGGAGGAACAAATCATCTTTCTGACAGAAACCCATCACTGCTGGTATAGTGAGCGGTGTAGTATTTGGGAAAATGACCTGAGACATTAGCCACATTTTCGGCCAGAATTAACTTGAGAAAGCCAAAGAGAAGCCTACGCTTGTGGTAAACGCACATTAGGGACGTCCAGCGATCCCACCCATGTGTAGGCAATGAATACAGCAGATGTCTTCTAGCTGCTCAAGCAAAACTCCGAACGTTGCGTTGTTTGTCTCATGTGGACTGCAACGGTGGAAAACGGCTGACAGAGGTGGGATTCGAACCCACGCCCTTTCGGACCGGTGCCTTAAACCGGCGCCTTAGACCGCTCGGCCACTCTGCCACAGCGGCGGAGTGCTTGCAAGATTTAGTCAACAATTCCGGTATCATGGTAAGTGCTTGTGGTAAAATTGATAATAGGTAATTGTAGCCGTACATGTTCTCAACTTCCACTAGTCTCTGAAAAGTCTAGATCTTGGGCACAGTTACTCGTGGTCGTTGTAGTCCATCATGACCGTGCTTTTCGACCCCGTCACAGAGACAGAGTCTTGCCCTGATGCGATATTTTCTGTACCTCTGTGAATCACTGAGCTTATTCGGGTGTCAGTTTGACATCCACTGGATTTAACTTACCAGGTTGTTCAATGATCGATGATCAACACAACCCTCTGCCCCCCAGGCTGTTGTTTGGATCATTTATGGCAGTTTGTTCTTTGAAATCTTGTACCATTGGGTTATATGACCGCACCTACCCGGTATTTCAGCCAGATTTCTGAGAAAGCGACTTTCAATGAAGACTCTAATCCTCCTTCCCTATTTTTCGCCCACACAGCATTCTAGCCCTTATGCAATCACTAACTTCATTGCTACGATGGTCGTCGCGTGATGCCGTCAGCCGAATCGCTTCGCTCACTCCGTGCAGCAAGACAGATAAGCGAAAATGTGCTACTGCTGACACCTTTATCTGCTTATCCACTCACTTTTAGCCAGCAGAACTACTTATAAAATCGCGCGTTCTATATCTTTTTGCTGTTCTGTATAAAAGTGACTGATTTTTCATTGCGCGAAATGTTGTCGGCTTAGGTCAACCCCAAAGAATGATCATCTCATAACGTAGACCGTTTATTACGAAGACCTTAGTAATCTCCTGAATATATACTCCATAAAGTTTTCCACCTTCACAACGAAACTTATCAGTTCATCAGTGGAATGTGCTGTCCACTCTGAATGGGTTCACAGGACACGTGAACATGGTCCGTTGCGCAGTTCATTAAGCTTGCCACTAAAAAGAAGTCAACTTATTTCGCCTGTTGTTCTGTTTGGTTGCACTGGTCACTCCTGTGTCAATACCACAACCGAGGTGGTAGAAGCGCGTGACTGTGTGATTCAACATACCTTGTCTTATCTTAAGCGCGGTCCGGTAGGCGTTAGACCAACCCAATGCTCACTGTATAAGCCCCTAACAGGCAGTCTGCTGTTCAGTGTGCTTGACTCACATGAAGGTAGGAACTAAAAGTTACTGATTGGGTTCACGAACATGCTGGATGAAGTCAAGAACCGATATTACTGTGTACTGTTTGTGATCAGTTTTACATCAGAAACCTTCATGTATGTCACTTTATCTAAATTATGTGTCATCTGGATTACTAAGCCTCCACCGCCCCTGAATCTCCTTGTTGGCCTCTAACACGATAGTTGTGGCCGAACCATTGAAGTTATTGCCGCAGAGAAACACTCACTTACCTTATGTCCCATTTAGTTGCAATCTGTTGGTCCAAGTTTGTCTTCTCTGTGCAAGTGCAAAACAACTCGATTGCCCATGACTTCAGCTTACTTTGACCACATGTTTATCCGGAGTCACGTTTTAACTCTAGTCACCAACTGAAGTATTACGAAGTACTCGGATGAAAGGCGGCTTGTGATTCGCAGCGAATGCACTTGTCGAATTCGGTTCATTATATCCTCCCTTTAGTAGATTTAGTACTCTGATTGTTGAAGCACATCCAAATATGACAACTGGAACAAATATTATGAAGATTTTAGCCGATTTAGACTGAGAGGCACAAATGGATGGGATTTGAAAGTTAATCGGCGACGTCTCTCCAGAATCCTGCCCACGAACTTCTTGTCTTGTACACAAATTCTCTTATGCTACAGTCTGCCTGTCATGGTTACTCAAAAGTGGTCTATTTTGAAGTTTTTTTTTAATGGAGTGACAGAAGCTGTCTGAAATGTTTATGGACAATTGTCTTTGGGTTTGATTTCGAATGCCCCGTAAACTCTCTAGTCTGAGTTACTCAATAACTATAACAGAGCAGGGAAGCATCCGCTTGAGAAGTGGAAAAGTATGATGTGTTTGGTTGATTCAAACTCCTGAACCGGTGCAAACGGATGACTGTCGTGTATCGTCAACCCTGCTCCCCTCTCTCCGGCAGCAAACTGCTCGCGTCATCCCCAATGGCTCTATTTACCGTGCAATGTGTGACGGAAAACGTGAAAGTGTAAGAAGGGAGGCGTCAGCAGTAGCATGTTTTCGCTTACCCGCCCTGCTGTATGCAGCAAGTAAGGCGACCCGGCTGATGGCACCACGCGACGGCCGATGTGGCATGAGAATATTGTTAGTTGTGTAGGTCATGACTGTACGAGGGCTGGGATACTGCCAGGGTGCCCACTCACCTTGGCACAATCCAAGGAGAGGCATTCGAAGTTATGGATTTTTTTGCTTATCTTTTAAGTTGTATAAGTTTTGAATAAAGTGACAGATGAGATCAATGCACGATTCTCCATTACTCGAGTCGCGTTCGCTGATTATTACGGTTTCGATCACGCAGCGAGTAACGATAATATGCACGGACTATGATGATATGCTATCCCCAGCCATTTTGTCGGATCCGGACTCCTACTACAGCGGAGTAGTAAGAAGCTTCAGACGCAATTGTAATGCTCTGAACAACAAGCGAGCAACAGGTAATAGCGGAAAATGACAAACTATATATATATATATATATA